GGGGGGGTGGGGGGGCCGAGGGGCCGCGAGCCGCAGGCGGGGACGCAGGGATGCAGGGTTGCAGGTGGAGGAGGCGGCCCCGGATCGCGGTGAGAGGAGGGAGGCGGGGGCCGCGAGGGGAGGAGGAGAGCCAGGCAGGTGGGAGGGAAGGAGAGCTGAGGTCAGAGCGGGAAGGGCGGAGGAGAAGGGGGGCGGGGGGGGGGGGGGGTGAAGACCGGGCGACCTGAGCGGCCCCCCGAGGCCCAGCAGCTTAGCCTGGCTGTCCTGGGAAGGCCCCTCGGAGAAAGGGCTGGAAGCTAGAGCCGGGGAGAGGAGCACCCTGAGAGAAGCTGAGGCGGCGGGAGCAAACAAGGGATGTAGGGGGGCCTCCAGCGGAGCCGGGCCCAGCGGCCTGTCTACTCCAGCGGGGCCCAGCGGCACCCTGTCTACTCCAGTGGGGCCCCAGGCCCAGTGTTTCCTGAATGATGGACAGGCACAGGCCTAGGGACCAGCCCGTGGCCGTGGCCTTTGTGCAGTGGTGAAGGCTGTGTGTGTGTGTGTGTGTGTGTGTGTGTGTGTGTGTGTACGTGTGTGCATGTGTGTGTGTGAGCATGTGTTCATGGCCGTATGAATGTGCATGTTCGTGTGTGCACACGCATGTGCGCATGTGGTTGTGTTCGTATGCGTGTGTTCGTGTGCCTGCACGTGTGTTTATGTGTGCACACGTGCGTGTGTGTGCGTGGGAGTGAGTGTGGGCTGCTGGAGGAGACGGGATTCCTAATGGGGGACAGGCAAACAGTATGTAACTGATCTGACCTGAGGGTCTCATCCTTTAGCCCTTTTTATAGCAGGTATCTTCCAACGAATCTTTTACTGTGCAGAATTGAAATTCATAGATGATACAACCTACCTACACACAGAACTTAAAAATCAACGTGCTTCCCTGTCCATACCATAGAGGAGAAATGACAAAGAATAATTTGTGATAAAATAACATAAACATGTTAATGTGTGACTGTTGAGGCCCCACCACACTGGCCACACCTGTCCACACAAGCACACGCCGATGCAGGTGCTGAGGCAGTGACTCACCTACCTCCAGCATGTCGCCATCGATGAAGTGATTTAAGGAAATGTTGGACAACTCTTGGTACCAAAGTGAACCTTCCCTAGATTTACACAGAACTGTAATTGTGTTCCTAGAAAGTTCATTGTATATTAATACCATTTTTTTTAAACACTATTAATTTCCAGGCTCAGATAATTAAACACAGGTATTCACCTACATGAATGTCCTAGGGGACACTTGGGAACCTGGATGAGGGACAATTTATTGTGCCCGCTATGTTTGGAAGAATATCTTATTCCCCTGCCCTGCTCATAACTGCCAACAATGGCCCCTCATCACTGTAAGCACAGAAGAAAACACCACAGATTGTTTTTTGATGTTCTCTAGGGAGTGTTTGAGATCCTTTGAGCTAGAAGTTGGGCAGAAGAGAGGAAGAGAGTGGGGCAGGATTTCTAACCACTCAAAGCAATAGACACCCTCCTCAGCGTGGCCTGATGTCCTCTCAGCAGGGTGGAACCAAAAAAGGTGGGTGTCGACTGAAATAAAGTTACTGACCCCAGGACAACATGTGGATGAGGAATTTCCTAGACTGCTTTGAAAAGAAGAGTTTCCTGTCTGCCTGGTCTGAAGGCTACTTCAGCTGTCTGGCCAGCAGAGCACCCTCTCTCTGTGCTTCTGTGTGGTCCTGGCAAAGCTGATGCCCAGGAGGACACCCCTCCCCGACCCAGCCTGGCCTCTCTGGAGGGGTGAATCTGCATAGGCACCCTCTCAGGAGCCCCCAAAGGAGTTCTCAAAGCCCTCATCTAAACCTTCAGTCTGGCAGCTTCTCTCTGGCTTCCCTGAAGTCCTGACCCCTTTGCTGGTCTGAGTGGAGGGGTACAGAAGGGTGGAGTGCCCCCCTGGAAAAGGGCAGTCTGTGATTCCGTGAAATTGAACATTATTTTGGCGTTATTTATCGCCACGCTGCTGGTGCTAAATCAGAAAAGGAAACACCTTTAATGTCCATATCACAGAGTATTGGTTTAGTACATTGGAATGTATTCACTCCATGTTTAAAACAGCAGCCAATGATATTAACTTGGGAAAATATGAGAATTTGAGGCGGGGAGACAGAATCCAAAATTTGTACAGTTGTGGTATATATGTGTTTAAAAGCTGGAAGAAAATACAGCAAGGGGCACCTGGCTGGCTCAGTCAGAAAAGCAAGTGACTCTTGATCTTGGGGTCATGAGTTTGAGCTCCACGTTGGGTGTAGAGGTGACTTAGATAAATAAAACTTAAAAAAAATACATCAAAATGTTAGCAGTAATTGCCTCTGGGACCATGAATAATTGGGCACCTTTTTTTCTTGATGTTTGTTTTTAATTTTAGTTCCAATGTTTTACAAGTGTTACCTTTATAATCCTTTTTTTAAGCTTTCTTTTTAACTGCCCTCGGGACTCTGAAACTGCTCACCTTTTTCCACCAGCACCTACAACTGCATCCTCCGGTGTCACTGCCCAGATTCCCCAGGACACTTACCAAAGCCCACCCCCCACCAGTACCCAACGCCCATCCACTCCTCTTCCTTCCACCAAGCACCAAACTCCTCTCCTCCAGGGAGGACACACTCAATCCCGTCCCCTCTGCTTTGCGCCCTTGCTGACATGTCCTTTTACAGTTTCTGACCGTCTCTGACTCCTGAGAATGGTGCCAGTCTTCCCGTTCACGTTATTTCTCATGCTCCCAGCTCCTTTCCTGTCTTCCGCCTCAATTTCTGCCTGGCATGGAGAGCATAGAGCCCAGAACTTAACACACCACACACCTGACAAACATATTAGCCCAAGTAACCCAATTCACTCGTGGTCTGCTGGGCGCTACGTGCCCTCAGTGGGCATCTAACTTAATTCTCACCCAGCCATGCAAAGTAGGTATAACGTCCTTCTTTTGGAGCCCAGTAAGCTGCAATTTGAGGACAGTAAGTACGAATCGGGGGTCACCGGCTATGCAGTTGACAGAGCCAATAGTGGAAACACTTAGTGCGGTTCCAAATTCTTTCCACAGTGTCAGGAGATTTGGTTTCAAGGCCCTCCTCTTAGCCAACGTCCACCGCAGGGCGTTCCTTATCAGAGGTCACGCAGCATCTCGGTTTCCCATCCGAATTAGCAGCGGGTGGCGGGTATGCGAGGGGGGTGTTCACGTCCACCTGCCCCTGCTCTGAATTGGGGTGAAAGTCCTGGCCTCAGGGAAGCCCTTCTGTCCTACGCAGCTCTTGTGATTTGGAAAAGCACAGGGGCGCCTGGGTGGCGCAGTCGGTTGAGCGTCCGACTTCGGCCGGGTCACGATCTCGCGGTTTGTGAGTTCGAGCCCCGCGTCGGGCTCTGGGCTGATGGCTCAGAGCCTGGAGCCTGTTTCCGATTCTGTGTCTCCCTCTCTCTCTGCCCCTCCCCCGTTCATGCTCTGTCTCTCTGTCCCCAAAATAAATAAACGTTGAAAAAAAAATTTAATAGAAAAGCATATGGGGCAAAGGCTTAAAATTCAAACATTTACATTGCCAGGCTTCACCCTGGTGTTTCAGTGACGGCTTGAACCTTCCTCCATACCGCCAAGGCTTTCTTGCTGGACCCTTCCCATCGTGTTCCATTTCCATGTCCTCCCTCCTCCTCCAATGGGACAGTCTCACAGAGCTGTGGGGCCTGGAGAGGGCAGGGGCGGGGGTAACCATTCTTTAACAAATCTTCTCCACTGCTCCCCACACAGTTCTCTCTCACTGTATGTTCTTGACACTGCTGGCCTTGGTGCTTTTGAGCCAGGAGAAGGAAACAGGAAAATTATAAGGTCATTTCTATTATGTCTTTGCAGGCACATCCAGGGGAACGGAGCGTGGAGCTCAAAAAACTTCAGTGAAATAAAAAAGGGCCACACGCCCCTCCACCCCCGCTTCCCACAAGGTGCTCTGGGCCAGGGGCAGCTGTCTCCCAGGTGCTCTGAGCCAACAGTCAGATTACAAAGCTGACAGTGGGGTGCCTGGGGAGCTCAGTCGGTTAAGCACCCGGCTTCGGCTCAGATCATGATCTCGCAGTTCACAGGTCACGATCTCCTGGTTGGTGGGTTCCAGACTCGCGTCAGGCCCTGTGCTGACAGATCAGAGCCTGGAGCCTGCTTTGGATTCTGTGTCTCCCTCTGTCTCTGCGCCCCCCCCCAAAATAAATAAACATTTTAAAAAGTTTTTTAAAAAGCTGACACTGCCCATTGCTTCTGTAAATAATTCCTTCATAAGAGAGCCCTTCTGTAATAAGCAGATGAACACGAGGTGCTGAAATGCTAGGTTAGCCTAAACAACAAACAGGAAAATAATTAGCTTGTCTGTCCCTCCTTCTACAGGGTATACGTGGTCAGGTTAACAGATGTAGAAAAGATTCAGTTCTCACAGACACATTTAATGAGTATTTCTACTCCTGG